ATAGCTGCCTGACAGGTTTTTTCGCTCTCACACTCCAGAAAGTTGTTGCATTGCTAAGCTCATGCTGTAGGAAGCATGTGTAGGAGGAACTGTTATTTTGTTACAACTGCAAACATGTATGTGATACTTTTTTGTTTTTCGAGACTTTGCTGAAGCCTCGAAGGGGGGAATATGAGGTGTATTTAAAAAGAGTAACTTTATAAAAGAAGGCAACAACACTCTTAACGTTGAGTATAAGTTGATATTGTAGTGTTTGAAGTACCCTGTGTGCTCTGTTTTGCAGGGGATTGGAATGTTTAAATTAAGGGGCCCCCTGGTCCAAAGGCCCATAGGGAGTAGGCCTCTCACTTTCTCCCTTCTTCTCTTAGTTCCAAATAGATGAGATCATTTTAAAAAGAACCACATGTTCTGTCTTCTGTTTCAACAACAAGAACCGTATATAAGCAGTTGGAATATTCTGTTCTGGAGGAGACACTTTAGAATTGGCACGGATCCTCTCTCAGGTACTTCATAGTGCTTGATATGATACTGTTTTACTTTGTAATAAACATCTTATACTGGTAAGACAGTGTCAACGGAGTTTTCCTTCACCATCTTCACATCATCGCCACTTAATAAACAACACTCTTTTATTCAACAGGCAGCTAGAGAGAACCACAGCTCAGTGCTAGCTGAAAAGGCTGAGATTGCAGGTGTGTCACTTCTAGCCATACACTTTCTCTCGATGTTAAGCACTAACACTGCAACATCGCACAGCCCAGTATAAAACAGCACAACCAACACATGTGCACATCATTAAGCTAACAACAACAACAACTTATTTATAATAAAAGTCTCTCCTACCACGGCGCAGCACCCCCTAAGAGGTTCCACGCATGGCCACTTTACATGGCCACAGTTTCCGCACTCCCACAGTAGCATGAGCCAGTAGCGGAACACTACAACATCTATACTTTTGTAGACTTACGTTACTGTTTTTTTAATGAATGAATTAAACAATTTTAGTAAACTCATTGTTAAACCAGTGAGCATCAAGTCTGTAGAACATGCTGTACTATACTCTTTTTGCTCCTTTTGAACGTTTATTGCTGAAAACACTTATCTGTAAATCAGTTAAAAGATGGGCAGAGTTGGAAAGTTCCTTCCCGTGCACTCATTTCTACGACCATTTGTGATTTATAAATAATCAGTTGCACTTGTGTGCATACATTCAAGTGTACACTCAGTTAGCATGAAATTCAAGTAGGTTCTACAAGTAAAGCCCCTGATCTAACTAATCAGATCATTAACGACCCTTTTCTGAGTTGAAACAGGTGTAATGAAGCAGGGAAAGCACTGCAGGACCAAGGTTGGCAAACACTGGAATAGAGATTTTACACTGAAAGGAAAATGTAATCTAGAACTGGGCTTAATCTCTCTCAATTGTTGGGCTGAATTTAGCACACTTGCTGTGAGACACAGGATTCTCACATAGTAGGTCATGCTGTCTAATTGCATTGACAGCCCTGCGTCAACATAGTACTTTAGATAGGCTTCATTTATATTCAAATCCAGCAGGAAGGCAATCCAGTGTAATCCATACATTATGTAAAAGCCACACAACAGAAATACTTGCATATGAAGCCTACAAAAGCGTAAGTATATAACAACACATACAAAACATTCCGAAACAAGTGTAGAAACTTCTTTAACCCCGTTGTAGTACTATAATATTTAAGTTAAAACCGTGAATTCTAGTGGTCTCACTCTTGTTTTGGCCTCAACAGTAAACTCTTGCCTCAGCTTCAGGGTAAGGTGGAAAATGTTCTTGAGGCCAGACAACTGTGAAGCCTCCATGTGAGATTCATTCATGACACAGCAGTAGATACAACATGTCAGAATTAAGAAATGAACATAATTATCAAACGAATCCACTGAAAAGTAGATTTAACTGCTCTCCATTTCAAGCACTTCATTCACAAAAACAGAAACTCCACTGTTATCACAATAAGAGTCCCATGCAATTATACTGTTAAATGTAAGTTTATTTAATTCCAATGAATGCTTAAATGTTTATTAAATAGTCTTTATAAGTATTTATACCACTATAATTATAATATTCATCATCATTATCAATATTAGTGGTGGTTTGTGGTCACAGAAATGTGTGGAGACTTGCTAAGCATTGACTAAGGCCCAATCCCATTTTACCCCTTGTTCCTACAACTTAGCCCTTAGCCCACTGTTTTGCATGTTCACGTCTAGGAGTAGAGTGTCCCGATGTTTGTTGAGATAGAGGGGTAGGGTGAAGTGTTGGGGCTACATGGCTGTCCAAACGGAGGTTTTTCAGAGGCTCACTCCAAACAGAGTGCTACAGGAGAGTGGAACAGAAAATTTGAACAAAAAGCTGGTGAACAGCTGACTTCAGCTTCATATCACCAAAAAATTAGGGGTGGGCGATAAAAAATAATTGAAGGCACACGATTCCCTAAATTTAACTAAAGACCAGCAGTGAGGTTGCTGAACTTTACTGCTCCTCTGCTATCAGTGCAGACTGGCAGGGTCACCTACAGAACACTGATGGTAGCCTGTTAATGAAGTAATGTTCTTTTTTCTTTAAGGGTTGTCCTGTTTTACAGGGGAAGATTTCAAAAACTACCCCCTGTAACTCAGTTCCATGGGGGGAAGGTGACACTCAAAAACAAGTGGTATGGGTAAAAATAAGAAATGGGATTGGGCCTAAGATGCGCTTAAATGAGTGCATATATTTTTAACCAGTATTATCAATGTTCAGCCATTCCTGCATCAAAGAATTGTGCAGTTCAGCCAAATTTCATGGATGCCTTCCCTGGTGTCTTACTCATTGTTCCAGGTAGTCCCACAGATTTTCAAGAGGATTCAAATCTGGAGATTTTGCAGGTCAGTCCAGATGTGTGAATGCTAATGAATGTTCATCACCCCAATCAGTCACATTTGCAGCCCTGGGAATGTGAAAATTGTCATCTTGGAATACACGGATAGGGATGTTATGTTCCTCTGTAAGATGATGAGCAAAAGGCAAAACCTGGTTGTCCAGCAGCTCAATGTAGGCACTGTGGTTCAAATTTACTGTGACCTCAACAAAAGGACCAATTTCCACATAATTAAAACACCCCAGAACATCACAGACCTCCTCCAGCTTGAATCACACCTTACACGCAGTCCTCCCTGAAAGCTTCCTGAGGTCTATGATGAACTTGACACTTAGCATCATTCACGCACAGGCAGAAACGAGATTCATCTGACCAGTCTCTTCAGCCACTGTAACTGGGCAACTTTGTGAGCAGAAGTGAGCAATGGCCTGTTCTGTGCCACTTTGCTCCATATGTTCATGTCATGCAGTTCCCTGAGGAACAATTTCTTTCAGAAACTGATTGTAAAGGACCTGCGTTGACTTCTAGAAGGTATTCTTGCCTGGAAGCAAAGCATTTCTTATTCACAGGCTGTGAAACTGTCCATCAGTTTCCACTTTCTGCCAGCGTTCTGGTGAGAATTTCCTGTACACTGAGATTTTTGCCACTGCCTGTAGATCCGTATGACCGTACGCTTCAATACACCTGCAAATTCAGCTACTTCCTTCACACTATAGCCTTAGGCACGCCCAAATTCACTCTTCTTGCTAACACATCGAAACGAGACATTCAATGCACTGTACCACCTCTTCTCAATCTATGAATCCCGTTGCACAACCCACAGGTATTTATAGCCTGATCATCCTCGTGGAACGCAACCTGCAGAAGCCTGCAGTTACTACCACCTTAAACACAGAAGGTGAGTAATTTTTTGTCCAGTGACTAATTTGTTGTTTTGTTTATATTCGGTTGACTTTAGGTGGTTCAGAGAAGAAGAGACAGAGAATAACCTTAGTATTATTTTCTGGTAAAGGCTACAGTGCAAAGTTAGACTAAGACAATATAATGATAATTAATAATATTTTTAGTCTATATATTATTTAATGTTATATTTATGAACCACAAGCTATTTTTTTCTCCTCTCTTCTTACTATTTTTATATTCTATATACTGGTTTCTGTCTTGTCTCAGTCTTGGCCACTCCTGGTCTCAGTCTTGATTCGGACTCAGTCTTAATCTTGACTCAAACTCAACATGCCCAGCTCTTGCTCTTGACTACAGCACTACCCTGTTGGAGTAGAATGACTACTGTGCTACTGAGTAACCAAGATACTGTCCAACTTTAAGTAAATTCCTTGTAAGTGCAAACATATCTGGGAAATAAAGGCTGATTCTGATTGTAACCTATTCTATATATCTTTTGGATATTTGCAAGATTTGGTTTTATCATAGAGTCATCAAATCTCCAAAAGTAAAACTATACAATTATGCAATTCTTACTCACTCTACACTTAAAAGGTGGAGGGTGAGGCGGAAGAACACACATAATGGAATTGGAGACCTTTTCCCTGAGACCACCTTCCACAATGTTCTTGATCCACAGTTGTAGAACCATCATCTTCTCCTCATGCCATTTTCTGCTTTTCGTGCACACGCATAATTTCATTCTGAATTCGACGCAACATTATAAAAATGAGGCCCCTGATATCTACCCCTCAGTATATCTAAAACCAGTTTCCCACTTTAAATACTGAGGTTATTTCCATCAATTTTAACCCTCATTCTGAAAAAATGCCATAAACTCACTTCAGCCACTGAACATACAAGCACATCAGATATTAACGCCCTAAGTACAGGAAGTAATGTTCACTGTGAGCCTTCACTTCTCCACATCCTTCTTCTTCACCATTCATACTTGTTTGTTAATCTGCCATCTACTGGAAGTCTCTATATCAATGACCTTAACAAAGCAATAAAATTAAGGTGCAGATGTGACGTCATGCTCATAGAATTGACCTTTCCCCATTTCCTTCACAATAATTCAACCAATCACAAAAGTTCACAACTTCAGAATGACCTGTCACTTCAGACATGAGGTTTCTCTTTCCACAGACCAGTTAGACATCACTATCACTCTCTCACGACAGGAACAATGATCACAGTCTTTGCAACTTTCTGTCTTTTTGTTACAGGTAGGTCATTCGTTTAATTTAATATATACAATTTATTTTTTGTTAGGACACAAATAATACAGTTATTCAGGCTGTCCTTTTAGTTTTTTTAGATTTGTTTATTTGTTTATTTATGCATCTATTTTGTTTCAGTGAAAACGTCTGAGACTGATGACCTTCAAGTGCAAACAGTGAGATGTGGAGAAAATGTTACAATAAAATGTGACCAAGACTTCGTCAAAGGCAGTGAACACTATTTAGCCTGGCATAAGCAGAGTTTTGGAAAACTGCCTCAGCTTATTGTGAGATCATCTGCAAATAATGCAAATATCAGAGTTGCTGAAACATTTAAACAGCGCTTCAGACTGACTGCAGGTGAAGAAAAGTTTGATCTCAGCATCATTAAAACTGTGGAAGAGGATGCAGGAACATATTTCTGTGTGAAAGCAAAGAAAGGCGTTACAGAGTTTGGATCTGGGACCCTTCTGCTTTTCCCAGGTAACAGTTCTCTTCTTCTAACTTGATGATTTTTATAGTTGCATGTTAATCTGAGCTTTTTGCATCATTTCTCTTTCATTTTTTCAAATGATTTTTAAGATGAAAAGTCTAAGAAGCGAAATCTGACTGAAGTAGATGTGAAAAGCGGGGAGTCGGTTACACTCCAGTGTTCAGTGGCTCCTCTGAGCTGTTCAGGAGAACACAGTGTGTACTGGATCAGACATGGATCAGAAGAATCTCATCCAGGAATCATTTACACTCATGGAGACACCGACAGTTCTTGTACGAGGAGCTCTGAGACTGATTCTCCTACACAGAGCTGTGTCTACAAACTCCCCAAGAGAAACCTCAGCCTCTCTGATGCTGGAACTTACTACTGTGCAGTCTCTGCATGTGGACAGATACTGTTTGGGAATGGAACTAAACTCAGTGTAAAAGGTAAGACTTTGTATCTTTGCATTTGTATAGCTTTCTTTCAGTAAAGAACGTCCACTGTGTGAAGTGGAGGAGGATCATTAATACACTGTATTCCTCATTTTAGAAGATAACAGTTGGACTTTTATTGCCTTGACAACATCCAATGTGATAACTCTTACTGTGACTGTTGTTCTGGCTGTTCTGCTCCTTAAGAACCAACGGAAAGGTAGGTCACCAGTGTTGATGCTGTAATAGAGCTTTTGTTTCATAAATCTCAATTAAATGTCCACAGTTATAACAAGCAGCCAAACTTTACCCTTTTCAGGGTCTTTCACTGATCATCCAAGTCACACAAATCAGGTAAAATGAAAAAAATATTTCTTATTATCATGTACATTCCTTGTCCTGCATATGTTGTACTGTGTAGTCATACTATTTCTACACTAATTTGCAGCTTACAAAATTAATATACGTTGTTGTGGAATGTTCTCCGTCAGGTTGAGAACACAGATGCCTTGAATTATGCAGCTCTGAATTTTGCTAAGAAACCTCCTCCATCCAGAACGTCCAGAGTCAAGGAAAGTCAGGACATTTACTCACAGGTCAAAGTACGATAGTCAAAGGAAACAAGGAAACTGAACCTTTAATATTTATTGTTTAATTGTCTCAAATCTTTGTAGATGGTCAGACGTATCTGTTCCATTGAAGCTGAAGTTCAGACAACTCTCAAGTGGATTTGAGCTACTGATCAGAGGCGGCGGCACAGATTTGTGGGGTCACACAGCAAATGCTAAGAAATTCTGAATTTCATTTAAATATTTCAAAGATTTTACTTTTCACTCACATTGTTATGCTGATGACATGATTTGTAATAAAAACTTAAACAACACAAAATAGAAGCATTTTAATTGTGGATCCACTGTAAATGATGTAAACGATTATTTGATTTCCTGTATATCACAATGTTTTCTTGCTTGTCTGTTATTTTATAATTAAAAGCCATTATATTGCTAGTGTAGATAGAGCATCTGCAGTACCTACTGTGTATTATTTAATTTGCTTTCCAAAGGTATCAATATTAGGACTGTTATTTAATTTTCTATGTCTTTATCAACTGTAAATACCTTTTTGTAATCTATATTAGTGCACATATTGTGCTATTTTGCTCATTAAAATATAATAAAATAATACAAAGTGATTTAAAGTGATTTAAAGACAATTTTCAACATAGAATCTCAGTTTCTCCATCTTTTTGTTTTGCAGCTGGTCTATTATTATTACTATTATTACTATTATTATTATTATTACTACTACTACAAATTGCCGTTTCATATTTCGGCAAGTTTAAACAAAGGTAAGGCCAGTAATGTGACACAGTAAACTAGTTTAAGCTTAGTATCTATAAGTACCAGGGCTCATAACAGCGTTTCAGATAAAAAAGTGAAATTGTTCTTGTACCTCTGGGTCAATTTCAGAAATTCAGGCTTCTGACAGCAGTAAGGCCCGAAAAGAATAATGCAGTTTAGACAAAAGAGATTTTTCTAATAAATGTAATATGTTATCATTTAAAAGATGCTGGGATTGGTTAAAAGAGCTTTTCATGGCTCTAACCCTGGAAAAACATGACGCAGATAAGCCCACCACAAATGGAGGGAATGGGAAGTGCTTTTTGTTCAAGCAGCTGAACTATGAAACCCAGTAACTGATAAAGTTGTTACTTCTCCAATCCAAGCACACAAGGGCACATTGATGATTGAGGAGGCAGAGGTGGTCTGGCTGGAACTAGGAACTGCTGTAGTAGTACTACAAAAAAAGTACTAACAATCTGTTTGTTGGTTCCAGCTTAGACTGTAAGCTGGAAACAACAAAAAAATATTTCTCTGGCAAACTAACATGTTGGCACATCATATGAGGACAGAAGACCTAGTGTAGAAGACAACGGGTCATCAACAGCATCCAAATACTGTACCAGTTAACTCTAGTATTAGCTCATTATACCTTTTCTGGAAAGACAGTCTTCACTACTTATCCAACACAAAAACCTATAATTTCCCCAAGATGTTTCAGAATAATAATGCCAAGTTTCTGCACAACTGAACATCGTTAGCCTCCTTATACCAGTGCAATCACTTAAAAAACAGGCCTATAGCCTTATGTACGGAAGCCCTAAAGAGTTATGGATTCGAGCTAGTTATATAATTATGACAACATAACGAATGTTGTTTTCTCAAAATTCCTAAGATATTTATACCATTATCATGACAATGTGTCTTATCTCAGTGGAACAATGTTCGTTATGTTGTGACAATGACATAAATATCATTAGGTCTTCAGAAAACAAATGAAAATAACATCAAAGAAAAACAGTAAAAAAAAAAAACATGCTCTTTCGGCTCTTTAGGCTGCCATACCTATGTTGATTTCCTTAATGTTACCTTATGTTAAGTTCCTTAAAACATGGAACATGTTATGTTAGTCAGAATACATCAGCATGTTCAAAGAAAAGGAAAAAGAAAAAAATTGTCTTCAAGTATCGTGATGTTATATTTTTGCAATATTACTCACCCCCTTCAGTTATTCTCTGAGTTTATTTTGACAAAGACTTAATGTGAAGACTTAATGTGAAGGCAGGTCAGATCAAAGAGGAAATGGGTATCAGTCAGTGCTAGAAGTGAGAGAGTGCAGATGTGAGCTGAGTGTAGAGTGAACTGTTAACTAAAAGCCTTGTTTACTGTACAGCATGGCTGTGGCCGACTACAGACGGTTAATAAAGCACAACTAATTGTGCTTAAGCTGTGTCCTCTTTCATAACAGTAAATGCTACAATATAACATGGTTTATTTTGACTGTCAGTATCATGCAGTGTCCATTTAGCTACATGTTCGGATATTTACACATCTTAACTTCCCACCAGTGAAGGATCTGAGGAAATTAGAAACTGACAAACAACCGCTTATTATCGACTGTCAAACAAACACAGCGTGGACTGACAAACTATTAGACAAATTACTGAGCATGTGGAGGCTGAAGAATCATGTCAAAAACTTTTTTTTTTGTGGGTTTTTTATTTGTTTGTTTTTGTTTTCTCTTCAACAAGCATTATTTGTTTTATTGCTTTTTGGTTCTGTTGTCCTTTTTTTAAGACTAAAGACTTCAACTTTCGGAAATGCAAAAGGCGATGCACTTACAGGTATGTGTAAAAGTTTGGGCAACCCTTGCCAAGTTTCATATTTTCTTTATTTTTGTAGTGAAATATTAATGCGCAATTACTTTAGATTAGAATAAATCAAAATACATGCACATATCTATGGCCAACAGTATGTTTACACATGACCATCACACCTACACCGATCAGGCATAACATTATGACCACCTCCTTGTTCCTATGCTCATTGTCCACTTTATCAGCTCCACTTACTACATAGGTGCACTTTGTAGTTCTACAATTACAGACTGTAGTCCATCTGTTTCTCTGCATACTTTGTTAGCCCCTCTTTTACCCTGTTCTTGAGTGGTCAGGAGCCCCCTGGCCCTCACAGAGCAGGTACTATTTGGGTGGTGGATCATTCTCAGCGCTGCAGTGACACTGACGTGGTGGTGGCGTGTTAGTGTGTGTTGTGCTAGTATGAGTGGATCAGACACAGCAGTGCTGCTGGAGTTTTTAAAACACTGTGTCCACTCAGAGACGACAGCTCATCTGCTGCTGCACAGTTTGTGTTGGTCATCCTCTAGTCCTTCATCAGTGGTCACAGGACGCTGCCCACAGGACACTGTTGGCTGGATGTTTTGGTTGGTGGACTATTCTCAGTCCAGCGGTGACCCTGAGGGTTTAGAAACTCCAGCAGCACTGCTGTGTCTGATCCACTCAGACCAGCGCAACAACACACTAACACACCACCCACCACGTCAGTGTTACTGCAGTGCTGAGAATGATCCACCACCCAAATAGTACTGCTCTGTGAGGGTCCATGGGGGTCCTGACCACTCAAGAACAGGGTAAAGGGGGCTAACAAAGTATGCAGAGAAACAGATGGACTACAGTCTGTAATTGTCGAACAACAAAGTGCACATAATAGTAAGTGGAGCTGATAAAA